AGGAGGCTGTCAGGGGGAGCTGACCCCCAATCTTTTTTTGTATATACAATTTTTAAAAGAAAATTGAAATTGTTTTACATGTTAACCCCAGTTCCCTCTCCCTCCCTTCTTCCCCTGCCCCTACCAAACCCCCTATCACATCCCTTTTCAGCTCCCCAGGGAGGGTGAGGCCTTCCATGGGGATCTTCAAAGTCTGTCATATCATTTGGAGCAGGGCCTAGGCTCTCCCCCATGTGTCTAGGCTGAGAGAGCATCCCTCTAGGTGGAATGGGCTCCCAAAGTTCATTCGTATACTAGGGATAAATACGGATCCACTACCAGAGGCCCCATAGATTGCCCAGGCCTCCTAACTGACACCCATATTCAGGGGTCTGGGTCGGTTCTATGCTGGTTTCCCAGCTGTCAGTCTGGGATCCATGAGCTCCCACTTGTTTGGGCTGACCCCCAATCTTACTGCACTCCACCCATACTCTTACTAGACTGTTTTTTTTTTCTTTTGTGCTAGTGCATGTTAGGTAAAGGTACTACCATGGAGAGAGTTACATCTCCCAGATCCACTATTTCCTTTTTATCCCAGACCCTAATGGTTTTGTCTCTGCCGTTTCAAACACAAAGTCGTCATGCTAATGATGATTGGCTCCTAGTAACGCATTCCTTATCATATACCCCAGCTTCCTGTTGCAGTCTGCAGAACAGTTCCAAGTCACACTGCCAGCACAGTCAACACCAGGCTCCCTTTGGTCTGGGTTTCAGAACTGACTTTACCCACTGTTCACTCTCACAGTACACATCACACCTCTGCCACCTCTTGTTTCACACAGTTTTCTCCAGCATCCCCAGCAAGAGTTAATCTGCTTCCTTTACAGGATTGCCCGGACGTCTGAATGATATGCTGGTATGCTTGGATGCTTGGCTGATAATACTGCATATGCGTACATGCTTGGGGCTTGGTTCCTTCATAGCAGGTAACGGCAGCACTGTCCCTCTATGGGTTAAAAATCCCTAGTTGGAAGACACTTTGCTCCCCGTTAGGCTTTTTAAAATGTTTTTGTTTTTAGCTTCTTCCTGGGTTAATGGATCCAAATTAGGAGTTTATAATTTTTAGATTACATTAATTTATTCATTGTGTGTCTAATGCACATTGCAAGATGTGGAGGTCAGAGGACTTATGGGAGTTGGTTCTTTCCTTCCATTGTATGGATCCTGAGGTCAGGCTCAGGCTGGCAGGTTTGGCAGCAACCACCTAATCCTGCTGGCCTCAAATTTGCAATTTTTATTAAATTTTTCCACTTAACAAATGATTAACCAGGAGAATATTTTTTCTATTAACCATTTTCCCTTTGCCATGTTAATTAAAACATGTACTTTGAGGTAGTAGATTCCAGGAGAAGTTTGCCATGTTCCTGCCTTCATTGCTTGTAGCTAACCCTTTAGTGCTTAACAGTTTTGCATCCGGTAGAGAGTCAAGCCGCCGTTAACTTCCTCTCTCTGACATTCGGCTTGCTGCCTGGTGTTGCTTTGCTGTGTATGTCTTAGACCTCGGGTCCTCTGTGCCCTGGTTTGTGCCCTGCGCCGTTTCTGCCCTCATTGGAGGCTTTTTCCTTCCACAATTTCATTTTTCAAAATGAAACTTTAGATTGTAAAATTCAGACCCCAACAAAACCTCTGTGTTTTGCTCACCGTTTACTAGGTGGCATCTTGTTTTCAGTGTGTGTTGTGCTGTGGTCTATCTGCTGACGCAGCAACTCTGTTGTTCTCAGTAAATGAAAGGCAAACATTTCCACCCATTAGTGCTTAGAAGAAGAGGAGCCGCTCGGGTGCTCAGCACATCTCTGATGAGATAAGTGTGCAGAAGATTTATAGTTCACTCAGCTTGGTCAACAGACTCACATGCTCGGGTTTTGTATTTTCAATTGTTTGGTGATGATTTCTTCAGTTCTTTTTTTAAATTTGGTGCCACTCAAGACTTGAAATTTGACCCTGTACAGGGAGAATTTCTGGAAATCAGACCGTTCTTTTATTTCAAGTAGAAGGAATCTCTTTGCTACCAAACACAGTAAACTATATTTAGACTGACATCAATAAACAAAAATTTCAGATCATTCTAAGAGTGCTGTCCGATCCTGCAAACTACTAGCAAGCATGAAATAATTCAGATGAGTTATGAAGAAGCCTCTCCCCAAAGCAAATGAACTATTGCGAACAAAAAGGAGGGTTTTATGTTCGGCTCGTATGTGAAGGGAAGCGAAGGACAGCGATTTGCAATTTCAGAACATTCTTTTTCCCACAGCAGGATTCAAAGCAAGCTTGACACTTTCTGTCAGTCTTCAATGCTTTGTTCAGGAAAACTAATAGTCTGTCCTAAGGAACTGGAATTGTCTTCTGGGCACAGGCTGATAATGGCAACATATATAAACACTCCAGAAATGTGACTTCATCATCAAAGGCAAACTTGATGATGTGATAAATTAGAAATGCTGTGCACTTTAATATTTAAGCTATAACTTGCGTGGAAAAATCCTCACCTTTCAGTTCACAATGACATTCAGAGCCTTGTGGTTAAAACCACAATTAAGACACAGATTAAATGCTCTCCCCAACTCCTGCCTGGCCATCACCGGTCCATTTTCTGTGCCTGGGCTTTGTGTTTTTCAAGACAGGGTTTCTCTATTGTTTTGGAGGCTGTCCTGGAACTTGCTCTGTAGACCAGGCTGGGTCTGGAACTCACAGAGATCTGCCTGCCTCTGCCTCCCGACTGCTGGGATTAAAGGTGTGTGCCACCAATGCCCGGCGAGATTTTTTTAAAAGAGTTATTTATTCATTATGAATACAGCATCCTGCCTCTATGTATGTCTGCATGTCAGAAGAGGGCACCAGATTTCATTATGGATGGTTGTGAGCCACCATGTGGTTGCTGGGAATTGAACTCACGACCTCTGGAAGAGCAGTCAGTGTTCTTAACCTCTGAGCCATCTTTCTAGCCTGAGATTCTTTTTTTAAAGGTTTATTTTATTTATCATGTATACAGTGCATGCCTGCATGCATGTCTGCACTTCAGAAGAGGCCATCAGATCTCATTATTCTTGACGTGAGCCACCCTGTGGTTACTGGGAATTGAACTCGGGACCTCAATGCTCTTAACCTCTGAGCCATCTCTCCAGTCCTCATAGAATAGAAATCCTTTATCAGGCTTGTGTTTTTCCAATATTTCTCCCAGTCTGTGGTGTTTCTTTTTATTACTTAACAATGTCTTTTGCAGAGCAAGGGTTTTAAAAATTTCGATAAAGCTCAATATAATTAAGTTTTTTAAAAGATAATTGAATTGTGCTTTGGAATGCCTTTGTTAAATCTTTGTATTTGAGAAGTTTTATACCTGCAGTTTTGCATTTAGGTGTGTGGTCCACTTTGGTTTAATTTTTGTTTATAGAGTGAGGTGTGGATTAAAATGTCTTTGCTGCTGACTTCTTTCTCAACTGAGTTACTATAATCCTACCTGAGTTGAAACCAACTGACCAGGCTGGGTGTGCTGGTGCATGGTACCTTTGGGAGGGCAGAGGCCGGAGGATTGCCACAAGTCTTAGGTTAACCGAAATTGTTTTCTTCAGTGTTTTATGGTTTCAGCAGACTAATCTTGCACGTATCAGGTTCATTTTTGGACGTCTCAGGAATTTCTTTAGTCACAGGGGAAAGCTTCCCATTGCCAACAATAAATGCAGTCTTATCTGTAGGCCTTATACAGTTTTTATCCAGGTAAGGAAGCTCTCCTCTTGTCCTCGTTTGTTGAATGTTGCTTTCATAAAATAGTGTCAGATACTATCAAATACTCTGTGTGTGTGTGTGTGTGTGTGACTGTGCTGTAGTACTTTGGTAGATTTTCATGTATTGGATCAGTCTTGTGCTCCTAGGATCGGTCCCACTCAGTTATGGTGAGTCATTTTTACATGTTCCTGTATCCTAGTATTTAGCTGAGGCTTTGTGACTGCAGTCATTAAGGATGTTGCTATGGTGTTGTTTTTTCTCATGATGATGTGGTCTGCTTTTGATATTAGGGTAAGGACAGACTCAAGTGTGCTTGGAAAGGCTTCCTCCTTCTTGATATACTTTTGTTTGATGAACCAGGGTTTCATTCTACAACCCGTATGTCCCTGGAACTCAGTATGTAGTCAGGCAGGCCTTGACTTTTCAGTAGTTCTGTTGCCTTCCGTCTCCAAAGGATTGTAGGCCACCCCACTGAACTTTTGATGTTGATTTTGTAGAATTTTTAAGGTATTCAACTTAATTACCCTTTATACATTTTGTGAAATTTACTAGTGAAGCCATTCACATGTACTTTCAATGATGTTTAAGTATGCATCATGCTAATAATCATGTTTTAATTTGCTTCTCCCTTTAATACTTTGCTTACTTACATATTTAAAGAAACAACTCGAATCCTGAAAGATGAACTTTGTTAATGATTGACTACCTGCAAAACTTTTAGCTTTGTCAGGTCAAGGAGTTATTTTTGATGGGCTCAGTTCTTTTGATCTGATTAAATCCATTAATTGAAGAGACCCACTCATTTAGTAGACAGTTATTGTGCATCTATTATGGGTTAGATTTAGGAGGGAGATTTTGACATAAGGTAATATTCTCATTTGTTGCTGCTGTAAAGATGTTAACTGAAGTATCTTTGTATTATCCATCTATCTGTATGCCTATCTATCATCTATCTATCTATCTGTCCATCTAGTTATATGATGGTAAAATAAAAGTTCTAGTCAAATGTTGATTTGCTCAATGATGATTTATTTTGTAGATGTGATTTTAATTTGTTCAACTCTTTTTCTTGTAATCTGGTGTTGAATTATTTGTTCTTTTTGGAAAATTTGACTATTTCTACTTAATAGTCTTATTATTTGATAATATCCAAGAAATTGTGTGTTCTTTTAGAGCTTGTTACAGCCGACATTTATTCTTTCAATATTAATTAATATTAATTAAATTGTGAGGATTTGACCTCAGTATTCTAATTAGTAGGTATTTATTCTTGGGATAATTATTATCACCATGGAGCAAGGAAAATTAGCAGAAAATAAGAAGCAAAGAACCTTTGGTTACTGATAACATGGAAATTTCCTTCCATACATAGAATTAACCAAATCCAGTGACAAAAAGATTATTCTTAGGTCAGTAAATGAAGCCCTTTCCTATGTTAAAAACAATTTAGCTGATGCCTGAACAGTTAATCGCACTGTTCCTCACTTCAGAGAACTCTGAAGTACTTAGTCTGAGTGAAGAGAGAAGGGACATTCTGCCACTGCAAAGCAAATGAAAGTCTTCAAGTGAGAAATCTGCAGCAGGACGAATCGTTAATCACTCTTCAAGGTCCAATTCTTCTCATTGAATTTCTTTCTTTTGGCCAGGTGACACATTCAGCGAAGGATCGTGATTCTATACAATTAATTCCACAACTGTAAGTACCGAGAGAAGAGAGGTTATAAAAACCCAGGAGACTCCTGTGTTCCAGTAAAACCATTAAGAAGGAACTAATGTGATAATAAAGTGAAAAGCAATTCAAAACTTATCAGCCTAATAAAGAGTATAACCAAATATCTTATAGCAATAAAAAACCTTTGGAAATGAAACCAAGGGAAAAAGATCTTTCTACTCAGACTAACAATATTAGCATGGGTTTGGCCTTCATTAAACCAGCACTGTCTTGAAGAGGATATTAATTATCAGGTGATTTGTAACCATACACAATGGAGAGTTATGGGGACAGTATTTGATGTCCCTTCTCCACATGCAAAGTCCAGCCACAGCACTGTCACCTGCCTTTTCTGTGATTCAGTCAGAAGCAATTCGTCCCACAGCGTGGGAGTGAGTTATACGTGCGCATTGAAATAACACCATGCTGCCAAGAAGCACAAAATATTTCATCTATATGAAGGGAGTCGGTGTCAAGAAATGCTTTGTGGCAGATGGCAATAGGCATAGGCCTCTCATCTTCCATTTTTACAGTCCTGAGGGGAAGAGAAGAGTAGGTGTTCAGCACCAGGCATCTAACTGGTTCCTACAGACAGCCGCCTTTCCTTGAAGTGGCTGGTGCCCATTCTGTCTCCAGCCTGTGCAGGAGGTACAGAGCATGCAGAACTTCCAAGTCACAGCCACCAGAAGCCATTAAGGAACCGTCACTCTTGATCAGAGTCACAGAGATGCCAGGCTAGCTCCTGCTGTGGGCTTCCTCCCCTTAAACACCCGTAGCTTCTTTTGGGCATCTTTGAATTTCTTATATTTCTCTTCTTCCTCTTTCTCCTTGTCTTCATTTACTTCCTCCCCCTCCTCCTTTTACTTTTCTTTTGTGAGACAGTGTAAACACAGTTTCTGTTTTGCCTGGTCCTATGGCCATTTAGCCCCAAATAAACACACAGAGACTTTTATTAAATATAAACTGTTTAGCCAATGGCTTAGGCTTCTTACTGGCTAGCTCTCTCTTAATTATTAAACCATTTCTATTAAACTATGTATTGCCACGAGACTACGGCTTACCCATAATCTGACATGTTACTCCTTTGGCAGCATGGCATCTTCCCTGGCGACTTCTCTCTGCCCCTTCTCCCCAGACTTCTCTTGATCTGGTAGCTCCACCTATATTTCCTGCCTGGCTACTTGTATTCAGCAACCAATAAGAGAGACATATATACAGAAGGACATCCCGCATCAAGACAGGGTCTTACTATGCAGCCCTGGCTGATCTAGAACTTTTTAAGTAGACTAGCCTGGCTTCAAATTCATAGAGATCTGTCTGGCTCTGTCTCCAGAGTGCTGGGATTAGTGGCTCTATTCTAGCTTTTGTTCCTTTCCTCCTTCTCTCCTTTGTCAGGTCTTTTGTCCTCTTATGACTAACCTTTGGTTTCTTCTGGATCCCAGCATATTATGACATTGGGGCCCCTCTCCCACAAAAACAATACTGATAAGAGGTGGGTTTTTCCATATGGATCGCCAACAATTATAGATTAGAATAAGTTTTAAGAAAATTTGATCCAATTTCTCCATGTTAAATAACCAGACAACTGAAAAAAAGTGTTCAAGGTCATAGAAACTTGTTGTGTTGGCTCAAGAAAGTCTGTGGTCCCAGTGTTTGCTTCATATCTGCCTGGCTGGTTACAGCCAATGCCAGTGCATGGTCAAGCCTCCAAATTGCTTGGTGGAGGCCTATAAAGCCAGAGAATGAAAGTCATGGTCCATTTACCTAGAGCCTCAACTGGAACGGCTTTGGGGCAGAGAGGACATGTGGCAGCTAGTTAGTTGTAGCCTCTCAGCTCCTTTCCTACCCTCTGCTCAGGCTAATGCAGCCTACTCTGAGACCACAAGCACATTGATCCTTTGCTAGATGTTTCCCCATTGATCCTGCCAAGATGTGTGTTGGACAGGGGCTGCAAGTCTCAAGGTGTGTGCTGGGTAGGAGCTGCAAGCCTGGTGTGGGAAGGAGGATCCACCTTCTCATTTCCTCTTGCTGATCCTGGATTCCATTGACTCCACTGACTCCTGGAGTCCTGTTTTGGAAACAATGCTTACTTTCATGTTGCAGTTTCTCCAATTATGTAGAACTATGTTGGCTACTGACCTCCCAGTAACACCAGCAGAGACCTCTGTAACAGCTCTTTTCTCGGTTTTGGGTATTTCATAAGTCTAAATTCTTTGGCTGCCCAAGGCTGATGTCTTAGTTACTATCTGCATTACAAAGGCAATCAATATTTGACTGTCATCTTCTCATATTAAATTCTTGGTTAAACAATGGGCACACTTGGTTTCTGATCTGGGTAGCAGGTGTCCCCAGTGATAGAAACACCAGTCAGCATTCCCCATCTTAATTAGGATAACCCTAATTATCTGCTGAGCATGCATAAAATTTATTACAAATGAAAAAGAGCAAGAATGGAAAGGAGCTGCAGACATCTTGGTAGAGCTTCCCACTTCCCTGTGGGCATTGCCAGCAGCTGCTGTTAGGGGCACTGCAGTGGGAAGGCTTGAGAGAACAGGCTCCAAGGCTTGTTCCTGGAGGCTTTGAGGCAAGGCTGGAAACTGTCTGGGCCTTTGTTTAAGGAGATGGAGAGGTTACTTTGGCTGGGAGGATAATTTTTTAGTTAAAAATTTATTACATCTTATTTGGTGTGTGTGTGTGTGTGTGTGTGTGTGTGTGTGTGTGTGTGTGTGTGCTTGCATACACACAAGTGCCCCTGAGTACCACAGTATGCATGTGGATGCCAGGGAACTTGTGGGAGTTGATTTTCTCCTGCCACCATGTGGGTCCCAGGAATTGAGCTGAGGTTATTCAGGTTGTTGGCCAGTGCTTCTACCCACTGAGCCATCTCACCAGTCAGGGAGGACTATTTAAAAATTGTTTTCTTTATTCTTGAGAATTTTATCCATGCATGCAATGGAGTATAATCATATCTACCTCCATTTCCCCACTACAACTCCTCCCATATTCCCTTCAACATTCCTTTTCCAAACTTAAAGAAATATTTACTTATGCATTTTATGTATGAGTGTTCTATCTGCATGTATGTCTGCATGCCAGAAGAGGGCATCAGACCCCATTATAGATGGTTGCGAGCTGCTATGTGGTTGCTGGGAATTGCTCAGGACTTTGGAAGAGCAGGCAGTGCTCTCAGCTGCCAAGCCATCTGTCTAGCACTGATTCTCAACTATTATTTAATGTTACTTTTTTATTACCCACTAAGTCCAGTTAGTGCTGTCCATACGTGCATGGGTGTGAGACCATCTACTGGGACATAAGAAGCCAACCAGTGGCCACATTCTCAAAAATAAATAAGCCATTCTTCCTTCCCCAGCAACTATCAGTTGCCCATGTCTCTTCAGGAAAGGGTGAGTCACGCCTGGAGATTATCTACCCCACCCATGCTGGGATCTTTGGCTGGCTTGATCTTGTGTGGGTCTTGGGCAGGCAACTCTGCTTTTGTGAGTTCATGATGGTGACAGCCGTGTTATGTCCAGGAGACAGCACTCCTCCCATCTTCCTGCTCTCACTCTTTCTGCTGCCTCTTCTGAGATGTTACCCCGCCTTTGGTGTGTGTGAGGGTTAACCCAGAGCACTGAGCCCTTTGACCAGCCTTGCGCTTCTGTCTCTATTGACTGCTGCCCATTGCAAGATGTTTCTGTGAAAAAAGTTGTGAGTAGCACAGGTCTATGGTATAAGCACAAATGTTTGGAAGGTACTGTTACAGCACGATCATTTAGCAAAATAACAATATTAGGTTCTATCCTAAGGCCTGTGACTAGAAGGGTAATTTTTAGCAGCTCTAACTTCCACTATGAATAAGTCAGATTGTGTTTTGGAAGATTAAACAAATATGTGACTTTAAACAGCTGATAACTAATCATTAGAATATTGCTATGGGTTGGTAGCAGAAATCTGTCTTCTTGGACTTGATAAAATTTGAACAGAGAGCCCCTGACCAAGCTGAGTTGCCTACCCCATATGGCCTGAGTGGTTCATGCATGAATCAGAGCTTTAACCAGCCCTTGGAGATGGCAGAAGTCACAAACTGTGACTCGAGCCAGAACTAAACTAGCAGCTGCGGTTCATTCTGTTCACTGAGCAGTGCAGCTTCTGTCTCACACTGGAATACCCATATGCGTGTGCTCGGCAGGCTGGCTGAGTCTTGTTTGCAACTCCCAGAGAAGACATAACCATGGAGCATGATCCTTCTTGAGTGTGTGCCCAATGTTTTTGAGTAAGGCAAGAGTAAATAGGGCAAGAGCACAGAGAGGAAAGTTGTTCTTGATAATACAACAAGCATTCAGTTTTCACAATGCACTTAGCAACAGAGTTGAGACTGTCTCATACTTCTTATGTCCTGAATGCCATATTAACTCAGGTACAAGTGTGTATAGGGCTTCCTGCACTCCACAGGGAAAACCAGGACACAGCATATATACCAACAAGGGCTCCATTAACAGTATCTGGAAATATAACACTTATCAAGATAGGCTCCATTGGTTGAGTTTGGGCCCCACCCTGGGTGATAAGGAATATAGGTGTTATGTTCTGTTGTTAAATGAGTAAAATCACCTCCATGCAGACTACAAAGGTGATATTTGGGAGAAACGATTTCATGAAAACTCTTAGCATTGTGCAGAAGAGAAAAAGAGCAACTGCACATCACTGACTGACATGAGTCAAATGGAGAGCGAAGAGAGCCATGGTGGGATAGTTATCTACATGAAAACATCAGGCATTTTTGTACCACCTGAAAACTGCCTCCCTTCATAAAAGAAACACAGAACCGATTCTTTGGTATGCCGAAGCAGAGCAGACCTCTCCAGATACTGATAACTCTGTAGACTCTATAGTCTATATCTTACAAAATAACCAAGTTAAGAATGATTTCTTGAGAGATAAAAGCTAACACAATCCAAAACGAATAAACTTACCAAAGCACAGTTTTAAAAATGAAAGCCATGTTCCCCACACAGTATGTTTCATACTATATGGCTAGCCACAAAAGATGCTTCACTACAGAGTGTAGAGAACAATTCTGCCTCAAAGCCATCTTTGTCAATATAGTCACAACACACATTTGTTTCTACACATGGCATCTCTTAAAATCCAGTGGGACTTGCTTGTTGAGATCATGCTGGTAAATGGCCTGAGGTATTCTCACACATGTAGAAGCATGGATGAAGATAGGTGTGCTTTATAAATTCTAGGCTTGTGGCAAGTTTGTTTGGAGCTTATCCCAAAGCACCCTGTCTAACACAAATCACCAGAAAGAATGCCAGACACATGGGCTGTTTATTACTATCCTGATACTATAATTTCAAGGGAAAAGGTAAGGTTGGAATTTCCTATCACAAATTAGACATAGTCATGTGACTTGAGTTGGCCAATAAAGTGTCATCAGAAGCCTGAAAGATCTAATGCACCAATTACAGTCTCATTTTCTGGCCATAACCATTCCGATGGCTGGGATCTTGTCAGATGGTACCCCTAAGTGAAGATGACCAGGAGCCATATGCTCCCCCCCTCCAGCTAATTCATAATGAGGATGTCAGTTGAGAAAGAAATCATTATTTTTCCCAGAATTTACTTTTATTCTGACCAGTTCCTAAATTGCTAGCAGGAGCAGGCCAGCGACGTAACTAGAGAAACATGATTTGTCTTTGGTTTGAAGGATAAGTTACAGGCTGTGGAGGGAGCATTGCAAAGTCTTGGAGGATGACAAGTGACCTAGCAGCCTTGGTTAAACTGCTGCCCCCAGTGACTCAGCAGGCAGATTATATATGAATTGATAGCTATAGGGAAAGAGGCGGGGAATGCAATAGTAGTAATGTGTTTTGGTTTCTATTGGTTGACTTTGGCAAGGTGTTTGCAAGAAACAAGGTCACAAAAGAGTTATCTGGGTTCCAAGCAGAAATTAATGGAAAGTGTGAAGCTACACAGTGTCAGAAAGTCTGACTGATTTCAGGTGCCAAACAGTAGGGGATAAAATTGGGAGAGCCTCCTGGCAATAAAAATATATTAAAGCCAAGCCTTGCAGCAAAGGGCATGACCTGTACATCTACCTTCAAAAGCCACTCACCTGATTATATTTCATTTGCCATCACATCATTATCAAAGCCCATGAAGGGAGTAAAGTGTACCAGAGTAAAGGCCAAGGAAGTCTTTGAAGAAAATTGTATATGTGGTTGTTAGCACACAAACTGTCACCAGGCAGATACAAAGCAAATGAAGCCATTGCAAGAGGTGTGCTACAAAGGAACCACCAGACAGAATGAAGAAAAAAATAAGAGACTTAAAATGACCTAAGGACCAGAAACAATTTAGAGGAGGAAGTGAAATGAGAAAGCCAGGCAGCCTTCAAGCTAAGGGTGTTCTCAGATGCCTAATTTACAGTGCCATGAAGTGTAACAGGAAAACAAGCCAGAGACAGCAGAGTACAGGAGATGAAGCTTACTTCACCGAGCACAATTAAGGGCCGATGGCCTTCCCTAGGTGGACCTCACACTGTTTGATCAGGGACTTTCAGAGATCCTTACAGCCAGTGTTGCTGTCCACCCCCCCTTCCCTCTTCTTAGATAGAAATGCTTCTTGGGGGCTTATGTTTCCTATTTCACCTTTGTGAATAGGGTGTATAGACTTAGGTAACTTGCTGTTTTAGTTCATGGTCTCCAGAACAATAGGTCCAGGCCCAGTTCAGTTACCCTATTACCTCTTGCTATGGACTACAATGCATCCTTCAGAATTTATGTTGAAGCCTTAGCCCCCAATGGGATTAGATTTAGAAACAGTGACCTCAAAAGGATAGTTAGGGTTATATGAGGTCATAAGAGTTGGTCTTAGTCCAATAAAATGGGTGGCTTTATGAGAAGATAAAAGTAACAGAGGAAAGGCTACATGTCACGTGAGAACACTACTGTGGAATAATCTTTTTTGTACACTGTGTCAAGATTGGTTTTATAAAGAGCTAACTGACCAATAGCCAGGCAGGAGAGAATAGGTGGGACTTCTGGGGATATAAAGGAACTCAGAGGGTTAGAATTTAGGCATGCAGGAGATGCCAGCAAGACTGAAGGACGTGCAGTAACTGAGCCAAATGGAAGAATGTAGATTAATAGAGACAGGTTAATTAAGTTATAAGAGCTGATTGGGAAAAGCCTAAGCTAAAGGCCAGGCTTTCATAATTAATAAGTCTCCATGTTTTTATTTGTGAGCTGGTGGCCCAAAGAAAAGTTTGACTATATTTGGCACCCAACATGGGGTACTATCACACAGAAGAAGTCACACAAGTTAGTGCTACCACAGTCGCCGCCTGACCTGTAGTCAGCTTTTTTTTTTTTTTTGGCTCTCTGGTGGTCCTGCCACCCAGCTCCCAAATAAATCACATGGGGCCCAGCCTTAGCTTGACTTATTTCTAGCCAGCTTTTCTTAATGTAAATATCCAGTGTAGGAGTGAGCTATCTGCCCAACAGGGCGTGGTCAAGGTAGAGATAAAAGGAAGTGAAAGGAACAATTAGCACTCACCTCAGGATGCCGATATCAGGTGGTTTCCAAGGCATGGGCTGTAATTCCAAGTCACTTCTGACACCAAATATAGAGGCTATATAGGGAAAACAATATATTTATTTATCAGAGAGAGAGAGAGAGTCGCACTGACCAGGAGTCAGAAGCGTGGCTGGCTTCCAGGAGAAAAAAGGGAAGGCCCTTTTCCTTTCGCTTCCTTTTATCTCTACCTTGACCACGCCCTGTTGGGCGGATAGCTCACTCCTACAATCCAGACTATCTTTTGCTTCTGTGAGTTTATCTTTCTCTATTTCTGTATATCTTTTCTTTCTTTCTTATTCCATGTCCAGCTGTGTGGGTGGGTGGCTGGATCCCAGCATCCTCCTCTCCTTTTTTTTTGCTCCTCGATTCTCTCTTCCCAGATTTCTTCTCATATTTATTCTCTCTGCCTGCCAGCCCCACCTATCTTTTCTTCTGCCTTGCTACTGGCCATTCAGCTCTTTATTAGATGAATCAGGTGTTTTTGACAGGCAAAGTAACACAGCTTCACAGAGTTAAACAAATACAGCATAAAATAATGCAACACATCTTTGCATCATTAAACAAATATCCCACAGCATAAACAAATGCTATACACATTAAAACAATATTCCACAACACTGGGCCTCTCTGAAAGCACTCACAACAGTTGGCTACTACTGTTGAGAACTCTGGAAAGTGTGCTCAACAACTTCCCAGAGCTGGGATGGTTAGGAGGAGCTGGGATGGTTAGGAGGAGCTGGGATGGTTAGGAGGAGCTGGGATGGTTAGGAGGAGCTGGGATGGTTAGGAGGAGCTGGGATGGTTAGGAGGAGCTGGGATGGTTACATGCAGCTACTACCTATGCCTGCAGCCCTGAAGGGGGCAGAACCAACTGCTAGCACCATGTGCTAAGGAGAGCCATGCAGCAGGTAGCCTTGCTGCCACCTACCAGTTTAAGGTTTGTCTCCCATGGACAGAGAATGCTGCAAATGTGTGACTGCAGGCATGCAAAAAGTCATGTCCAGACTGAAAAAAGCCTCTAAACATATGCAATATGTTTAGAAATGTGCTTTGGTGCTAAAGAAAAGAAAATGAGTACAGAGAGTCATAAAAGTAGTTTAAAAGCAATAAAATAAAGTCTACTCAATTGGCAGAACATGGGACTATTAATCCCAGAATTGTGGGTTCAAGACCCACATTGGGAGTCATTTGTAGTAGTACTTTTTATCAAGACCACCAGCCTGCAAATAACATGGAGACTTACTATTAATTATGAAACTTTAGTCTTTAGCTTAGGCTTTTCCCCAACTAATCTCGTAACTTAAATTAACCTGTCTCTATTAATCTACGCTCTGTCATGTGGCTTTTACCTTTTTTTCATTCTGTATGTCTGACTTGTTCTGCATCTTGCTGGCATCTCTGTCTCTCTTCCTCCCAGAGTCCTCTCTCTTCCTGGAAGTCCTGCCTATTCTCTCATGGCTAGCTAGTGTCCATTCACCTCTTTATTAAACCAATCATAAGGCACCTTAGACAGAGACACATCTTTACAGTGTACAAAAAGATTACCCCACAACAGAGCTCAGTGAGAAGATGGCCATGTGCAAGCTAAGGAGACAGGTCACACGAGAAATGAAACCCAAGAGGCCTTGATCCTGGACTTATAGTTTCCTGCATTGTGTGACACTTTTCTCCCTTTTAAGCCACCCCGTCTGTGGTATTTTGTTACAGAGGCTGTAGCAAACAATGAACAATGGAGATATGAAGGGCATCACCCAGAGGTTCTGAACCTATGACTTGGTGGGGATTTTGAAGTCCTTTTCTTGGGGATAGAATAAGTGAAAACAGCTTATACAGCTGGGTGACCAGATGGTAGGTTGCAGTCATTGTTAGGGCTTTGTGTTGGTATTCCATCATGGCAGGTTTTTTTTTTCCAGACCCTCTTGGTATGCTCACATGGCTTTGGCCATGTGAGCAGAGGTGATGGATGTTTCTGTTGCATAGAATCTCTTTGTTTCATTTTGTTTTGAGATGGGTCTCATGCATACCAGGCTAGACATGAGCTCTTGATCTTCCTCTGTCTCTGTCTCCCAAGTGCTGGGATTACAGGTATCTACCGCTCGCAGGTGTACTGCCTTATCTTCTGAAGCTCCATTTGCTGATTTTCATTCCCCTCATAACTGCAATCTGTGATATCCAGATGGCAAAGTGTCTGTTAGGCTGTGTTTCCAGCTAATCCACAGTAGTCACGGATATAGGTAAGATGCAATATTTAAAGCCACTCTACTTGTGGGGACGGTTTATGACAGTGACACAAACAAATCTGTCTTGGCTGATCAAATCAATAAAGAAGGTAGAGGAAATTTCTTAGATTCTCATAGAAAATGACTGTATATGATCAAGTTAATTCAATATATTAGTGTTTTGTTCTTCATTAATTACTTCTGTTGAACTAAATCTGGAGGATGCCCGTCAACCACTGTGCTATGCTTTTGCATTCGGATAATGCTATTGAATCCTGGTTGGAGGAACATGTTTTAAGTTAGGTTGTTAGTAGTGATGATGGATTGATTCTCTTAAAACCGCTCACAGTCCTCTGCTCACTGGCTTCTATATAGCCAGGCAAGGGCTGCATGTAATCACCAATCCAAGCTAAGCCTGGGCCTCGTTCCCATAGCATTAGTTTCACTTGCTTTGGGCTGCAGTGACACTAGAGGAATTGACTCCGAGCTCCCAAAATTCTCTGGACTGTGTCAAGGTTAAACATGAACCACAAGCCAGGAACAGGGTCAGATTATACAGACTCTCAACAGCTGTCAAAGGAGAGCATGGTGACCCCACTAAGTACTGTATATTTTTATGAATGATGAGGTCTATAAGGAATTTAACACATACTCTGTGATGTTGTTAGAATATGGATTAAGACTAGCTTGAAACATGCTATAGACTAGAACATGTGGTCCAGAAAACAGACTCTCAAGGAAAGAAATGAGGGTTAGGGATGGAAACAGGCTTGTGAGGACTCCTGGGGAAGACTGCATGTGAGGGAGAGGGTAAAATTGAACTTCAAATCAAAGCATTGCCCTTTCTGGAAGCTTCCAGATGTCTTCTTCCACATCTACTTGAGAAGTCATTTTGTACAACATTCCCTGTCTTCCCTTCCTACAACTGATTGGCCCACTGGGGATTTTAATTCACATGTGGGTGCTTTCCCAGGAGTTTGGACTTAAGGTCTGGTGAATTGAAATACAACCCCCCTCTAGTGGCAGAGATTGTAATTGCCCAAGCCAGAAGTTGTTGACAGAGCTGTCTTGCTCCTTTGGAAGGCCTATTGAGGGGAATGGAAGAATAAAACAGGTGCGTACAGGAGTGGAATCTCAAGGAAAAGAAGGGCCTGCTAAGTAAACCTCTTCGTCAAATGCCAGTCATAGGCATTTTGTTACAGCAACAGGAAGCCAAGAATCTTCTTTAGTTAATTCTTTTTCAATTAGCAGGAGGATGTAAGAGCAGCCAAATCAATCTTGAGAATTTATCAACCAAGTCAGTAGGCACTTTAGCTCTGTAACATAAAACATACGGATCTGAAGCTTGAGTAATCCTGTATGAGAAGACAAAGAAGCGCCTGGAGCCCGGTGCAGTTCCTGCCTTATCCTTTGAGGCATCGGCTTTAAGCATTAATGTGTGTGGGAAGTGAATCTACAAAGGGGCCAACAGACATTATCCCCAAATAATTTTGCAAGAATGTCTTCCTACTTCTAGCTCATCTTAAATTTCGCAAGGACATAAAAACAGAAGGAGAAAAGAGAGCACATATTTTCTCTCTTGGCATTGCCCTTACTGATATTTCATAGTGATGTGTAATCCCACTAGCTTACTAGCGGTTTCTTTTACATTTATTTTGAAACAGAATTATGCACAGTTATGGGCTAGCATATTAAGTTTTAGTACTTGTACATAGCATGTAATGTTAAAGATAAGCCAACATGCTCTGTAAAGAGTGATCCTTAGTTAAAAAAATCATTGCTTCTAGCTTTTTTGAAATATGTTATTTATTATTATCTGTCACCATGCTACTGTACAAAAGACCAGAATTTATTTTTCTTAACCAACAAGAACTTGGTACCCACAGTCCAACCCTCCCCTCGTCCTCTCCATCTTCCCAGTCTCTGGGACTCACCATTTTGTCCTCAACTTCTATGGCAGATACTTTGCACATACAAGTGAAACCACTGAATGCTTGTCATTTTACACCTGCGTCATTTCCCTTGACATAATGACCTCTGATTTCAAGGGATTTTATTCTTTTCATGGCTGAATGATATTCTATGGTGTAAGTACAGTTTTTAAAAAACATATTCACGTGATAGCATGCTCAAGAGCCAAAAAGCCTCAGTACTTTATCCTTCATTACTTCACCCTGGTTCTGTTTACTGGTTTTCTAATTTTCCTTCCAAGGCATGCTCTAATGATATGATCAGCCTAGGGTTGGCCAGGAAACAGTAGCCTCTCTACATAGTTCTGATGTTAACCATTTCAGTAAAGGCTTACATGACTGTGGGGTCATCTGGGGGACTGAGGTCAGAGGATGTGACACTGGGACCTCAGCCAGAACACGGGAGTAGGTGGTTTGCATGACTCGTGGGAACTGCCGTAGTTCTCAAGAGTCCCCAGGCAGCTTGCTCCTTGTATCTCGTGGTGTAGTGCAGGGCGGGTGGTTCTCCAGAGTTTGCTCGGAGCTCCCACCTCACATTTGCTGGCACCTGACTCCAGTTGCTGCTAGAAGGCAATGCAAGCTCCCTTTGGATATGGAGGTTTCTGTCCCGCCTCATCCCACAGCCGTTTCGCCCCAAATAAGCACACAGAGACTTACATTAATTTTTAAACTGTTGGCCAATAGTTAGTGCTTCTTATTGGCTAGTTCTGTCTTAATTATTAACCCATTTCTATTAATCTATATATTGCCACATGGCTGTGGCTTACCTGTAATCCAGCATGTTAGCCCTTTGGCAGCATGGCATCTTCTCGTGGCCTCCCTCTGCCTTCCTCTCCTAAGCCTTCTCTTCGTCTGGTGTCCCTGCCTATGCTTCCTACCTGGCTATTGACCAATCAGTGTTTTATTCATCAACCAGTAAGA